GGGAGAGGGGGAGAGGGGGAGAGAGGGAGAGAGGGGGAGAGAGGGGGAGAGAGAGGGGGAGAGAGAGAGAGGGAGAGAGAATCTTTTTGGATTGATAGATTTGACAGAGAAAAGAAAAAAAAGGCCTTAAAAGCAAAGCAAAGACATCACCTGAAAACGCCATTAACGCACACAAACACAAATTCAGTGAATTCTATGTACTCTCACATTTTTCACCCATCAAATATCTCCACAACAATCAATCCTCTTCTCTCTCATCGATGGCCCCGTTGGTCCAAACCAATTTCCATCCCCATCAAATCCGTAAATCAACCAAACAAAATCCCTCCATCTCTCTCTCTCTCCCCCCTAAATCAACCAAGTTCCCTCAATTCCCCCTCTGTTTTTGGTTTTCTTCTAGGTTAACTTCTTCTTCAATCCCTCCATTCTCTTCTCTTCCTCCCATCCTTTCCATTTTCTCTCTTCCAATCGGATCAACAAACCTCCAAAACCCGACCCGCGTGCTTTCTTCCACACCCCGATGATCCGAATCAATCATCCCCCTCTCTTGCAGGATTACGCCGAGCTGCAGAATGTAATATGTTCTTCTATGGATTTTTTTCCCCCTGTTTTGATCTCTTCCATTCATATGTTTCATCTTTACGACTTCTTGTTCTTCGATTATTGTTGTTTTTTCCTTGTTGATTTGCTGCTGAATTTGGTCTGAGATTATAGGAATTGTTTGTCTCTGGTTTTAGAAACGATGAAGATCTCAACAGGATAGAGCGCAAGAGGCTTTGAGATTTTATTTGGTTGCTGAGAAAATTGTGAATTACTGAAATATTGCTTTTGATGTTTGTGTTAATTTTTGGTGTCTTTGAATGCTAAAACAACCTTAGACTTGGACAAATTTTTATGTATCCTGGCCCGGCCACCTCAACTAATGCATATATTCTCGACCAAGAAGTTAAACATTCGAACCATTCCACGTGTTTTGTTTTGTGTTTAGTGTTCATTCATGGTGTCTTCTTGAGATAATTTGCCTTCTGTGATTGCCTACAAGTTGTAAGTTCACACGACTTTGTGATCACGTGTTCGTATCGTTGTGGCGAAGTTACATGGGAATAATAAACATGTTATAGGGTTAGTTTTTTGATCTCGTCGAGTGAAATTAGTCGAAATACGAGGAACTATGAATGTTTCAAACTACGGTTCATAAGTTGTAAATTCAAATTTAGACTAGGCGTCTCTAGCGGGGCCTAGTCTAAATTGGTCGAGGTACGAGTTATAGGGTTAGTTTTTTTATCTCGTCGCGCGAGATTAGTCAAGGTACGAGTAAAACTATGAATGTTTCAAACTACCATCTAACTTCAAATTTAGACTAGGCCTCTTAGCGGGCCTAGTCTAAATTAGTCGAGGTACGAGTTATAGGGTTGGTTAGTTTTTTAATCTCGTCAAGTGAGATTAGTCGAGGTAGGAGTAAGTATGAATGTTTCAATCTACCGTCTATAAGTTATAACTTCAAATTTAGACTAGGCCTCTCCAGCGAGGCCTAGTCTAAATTAGTCAAGGTACGAGTTATAGGGTTACTTTTTTGATCTCGTCGAGTGAGATTAGTCGAGGTACGATTAACGACAAATGTTTCAATCTACCATGGATAAGTTATAACTTCAAATTTAGACTAGGCCTCTCTAGCGGGGCCTAGTCTAAATGGTTCGAGGTACGAGTTATAGGGTTACTTTTTTGATCTCGCCGAGTGAGACTAGTCGAGGTACGAATAACTACAAATGTTTCAATCTACCATGTATAAGTTATAACTTCAAATTTAGACTAGGCCTCTCTAGCGGGGCCTAGTCTAAATGGTTCGAGGTACGAGTCATAGGGTTACTTTTTTCATCTCACTTGAGACCTCTCTAGCGGGGCCTAGTCTAAATTAGTCGAGGTACGAGTTATAGGGTTACTTTTTTTGATCTCGTCGAGTGAGATTAGTCGAGGTACAAGTAACTACAAATGTTTCAATCTACCGTCAATAAGTTATAACTTCAAATTTAGACTAGGCCTCTCTAGCGGGGCGCTCGGGCACTTAGCATAACTCGGAGA